ATATATAAAATAAATATCAAAAATATAAATCTTTGTTTTACTATGGTTGCAAATATCAAAAAATTTCTATATGTGACACGGCACCAGAGTTAAGTTAGGGTTTCTCAAAATGCTGGCATGCTGAGCTCAAAAGGTTTGCCATCACTGGCCTATGCACAGGGTCTTGGGTTCCATTCCAGGTCCAGGGCACATAATCTGGTTCGCTCCCTGCTCCTCCCCCTCGTATTTTTCTTTGTTAAATGGCATTTAAATATATAAAATAAATATCAAAAATATAAATCTTTGTTTTACTATGGTTGCAAATATCAAAAAATGTCTATATGTGACACGCACCAGAGTTAAGTTAGGGTTTTTCAAAATGCTGACATGCCGAGCTCAAAAGGTTCGCCATCACTGACTTAAACAATCACATTTCTAACGTGTTCTAACTGATGGGGGGAAAGGGGAGTAGGGAACGGAAGGAGGAAGAAAACCATGAGTGGCCTGCCGCCTTGTCCGTGTGACTGTGACTTACGGACAAGAGCCACCGCTGAGCTCACTCGGACAGCCTGCCCCACAGTACTAAGTCCATCCCATCAAAACGAACCTCAGCACAAATGCCACCTCAACTTCCAACTGCCCTTCTGATGTCACTGGATTCCGTGCTTCCTTGTCACCACCTCCCACGTTTTCCTCTGTTGCTAGGTACCCTGGGCAATCTTAGTATCCAGAGCTCGGGGGGCTCTTTCCCCTCGGGGCTCGAATACAGAGTCTTTGGTTCAAATGCCCAGTGCCCAGGCTAACCTTGGGGAGAAGCGCCGTCACCCTGGGCCTGTGAACCCCAGGCCCTTCCTCCAGATGTAAAGGCCACCCCCTCCGTGTAGCAGCCCGGTGTCCACACACCAGCAGCCCCCCAGGATGGGTAAGGACACAGATGTCCCCATTTTAAGGCCATAAACTGATGTGAACTGGTTATGACAAAGAGGAGTCTGGGATTTGTGGGTTTTGATTATGAAAAAGTCTCTTTAAGAATAAAAACCTTTAACGTGGTCACCCAAAGCTACACAATAGAAAACGTTTCATTTATCCTCCGTTTAATGTCTGCTCACTCCTTTATATTGAATTTCTCTAATGTAGACAACACACAGTTTGTTTTGAATTTTGATTTTTAAAATAGTGGCATGTGACAGTTACTGATTCTTTTACTATTTACATTATAAAATATGTGAATATATATTCGATGCAAATGAGTAAATCACTCATTTGTTCATCATAAAAAAATACTGATTTACTCAGGAATGAAATATGTAAGGCTGTTGAATTTAGTTACCTTGGTAACATCTGGAGAGAACTACTTTGTCTAAAAATATTTTCTCCTTTATTCATTTACTGTTTGTACCAAAATTATAAATACATGACTTTTATTAAAGACTTTCCTGATAAATAGTAATGTTTACCTTCCCTGAAAAATGAATAACTGGTACACTATTTATTAAATATTTATGATGATTTCAGATTAAAGGAACAAATATAGCATGTTTGAATTTTAACTACAATGGGTATTGGATTTGTTTCATGCTAATGTTAAGATTTTATTTTAAAATGTAATATTTCTTTAAGGTTATTCATTCTTTTTTTTAAAAAAAATATATTTTATTGATTTTTTACAGAGAGGAAGAGAGAGGGAGAGGGATACAGAGTTAGAAACATCAATGAGAGAGAAACATTGATTCAGCTGCCTCTTGCACGCCCCCTACTGGGGATGTGCCCGCAATCCAGGTACATGCCCTTGACCGGAATCGAACCTGGGACCCTTCAGTCCGCAGGCGGATGCTCTATCCGCTGAGCCAAACCGGTTAGGGCTCATTCTTTTACTATATTGATAACATTTCTTACATGGAATGTTTAGTAATTTTTAAAGGATTTTAGTACAAAATGTTAAATCACATTTTTCTTCATAAATTAAATAATTGGACATGTATAAGTCCATTATGTTTTTCTTTGGACTTCCTTGGAAAGGAATAACTTAACCCCAAATTACCTTTAATACTTTAGCCTAAGGATTTGACATAACATAAAAAATATGCACAAGTTTTCAAATTACTTATGTGTAATTATGTGTAAGTATATATATATTTCCCCAATTATTTGAAAAACCTTAGCTATTTCATTGTTAAAAGGATGTTTTTGATTTCTCAAACTAATAGTATGGAAAGTGCAATTTCACATTATTTATGACTAGTTTCCTAAATTCTCTTATGTATGTTTTCACTCCACATGAAGTCTTTTCTTGAGTGGGTACATAAAAAGAATAATTTAATAGAAGAATATTTGAACACATTTTAACTTTTCCTCAAAATACTTTTAGAATACTTGTTCTAAAAGAGCATTTTACTGAAATTAAACTCAGCGCTCTTGGTTTTCATGTTTTCCTGGAGCTAGAGACCTGGCTGCTCCTGGGCCTTGTCCGCCCACCGTCCGTCTCCTCCACTCTCCTTAGGGTTGTTCCGGTCCCTCCTTCTCTGCACGGCCCGCTGCTTTAGTCTGAGCTTCCCTGCAGCAATGCTGACTTGGGTGACTTACAGATCTCTTAACCAGTCTCCCCAACTTCCATTTTTGTTGCCTTCATCCCATTCTCATCAGAATCAGAGTAATCTCTTTAAAACATCATTTTCCACAATAAAGTCACTTCTACTGACTCTCAAGCTGCAGTCGAGCTCTCTGATACACAGCACTTCCCATCACCTCCTCCTCCTCCTCCTCCCTGCCTGGGTTTCTCTTTCTTTCCTTTCTCTTTCGTGCTCAGCCCTGCGTGTGCTTTTCTCTGTGACTGGAGACCCTCTCCTCCAACTGCTTCAGCTGGTGGGAAGGCTGCCGCCTCTGCTGGAGCTCAGTCATATGTCAGCGTCCTTGGGAAATGCTCTGTGATGTTTGGGATCATGGCTTGCTTTGGCTCATAGCCCTTTTTTGCTATGAGTTCTAGTTGCACATTTATTTTTCTGCCCCTTTTAATTGAGAACATGTTGAAGGCAGAATCTCTAGGGGCCAAGTATTTAACCCCTTTTAGGCCAAGGGTGGGCACTCAGCACAGATGAATAAATGATTAGACTTTACTGTTTCCATGAATTTAATTGATTAGAAGGCATTAACTATTTCATTGTACTCTACAAAAGTAACGCATACTTAAAAATATTCAGAAATCATCCTGACTGGTGTGATACAGTGGTTAGAGCATCAGGCCACACACCATAGGGTCGTGGGTTCGATTCCTGGTCAAGGGTATGTTACCTGGGTTGCAGGTTTGATCCCAGACCCAGCCCCAGCACGTGAGGGAGGCAACTAATCCATGTCTGTCTGTCTGTCTCTCTCTCTCTCTCTGCCTCCTTTTTTTCTCCCTCCCTTCCTCCCTCCCTCCCTTCTACTCTATCTAAAATCAATGGAAAATTATGCTCTTGTGAGGATTAAAAAATAAGTAAATAAATAAGTCAGAAATCAAACAAAAATAAAATTATTGAATATTATTACTCCTGCTCATATTTATATGGTTTCATCAGTAGCCTTTAACTAACAAAAACATTTAAATATATGTGTTCTTCATAATCCTTTAAAATTAATAGCAAATTATTATATATGAAAAGATGAAATTAAGATAAATAAAGGGTAATTGTTTTATGTAAACTTGTTTCTTGGTCTCAGTAAAGTATCATTAATATACCTTTTCTAAACAAGCTTATTTACTAGAGGCCCGGTGCACAGATTCATGCACTGGTGGGGTCCCTTGGCCTAGCCTGCGCCCTCTTGCAATCTGGGACCCCTCAGGTGATGTCAGACTGCTGGTTTCCGCCTGATCCCCGCAGGCCAGACTGAAGGACCCCACTGGTGCATAATTCCATGCACCGGGCCTCGAGTATGCATATAAGATCTTTGGTTAATCTCTTCCCGCCTCCCTCCTCCCCTCTTCCCTCTGAGCTTCATCAGTCTGATCCATGTTTCCATGCCTGTGCATTGAGCATCTGTCCTCTGGTGGTCAGTGTGCGTTATAGCTACCTGTCAAACAGTTGGATGGTCGAACAGTTGCTTAGGCTTTTCTATATATAGATTTTAAAGCCAGAAAAATTTTAATGCTGCTGCTCCACTTCTTTCCTATTTTGCTTTTATTCTATAGTTATCTTGTTTTTGTTATTGGAAAATGATATGTTATAGATAATAAGGAATATTAGAAAATCCAATGCCATATAGTTAAGAAGAAGTCAATACTAACATTTAGGATTGTATCTTTTCAGTCTTTTCCATCCATGTTTATGTGTTTGCTCTACAAAATTGGAATTGTATTGACCATGCTGTTTGTAACTAGATTTTTCCCTGGAATACTTTGACTCACAGTTTCCTATATCTTTAAAATGGAATGTTGAATTATTCCATAACATCCTAATCATTCCATGTGCCTTAAGCAAGTCTCCTTTTTCGGCAATTTATATCAAGTTTTTGCCATTGTAAACAACACTGGCATAAATGTCTTCTTACCTGCACAGAAGTACACACAGTGATTAAACTTCTTACGCTTAAAATCCTACAAGTGTAATGGCTGGAACGGCATTTTTGAGCCTTTCTAATGCTTTAGATGCATATTAAACGCCCACAAAGCTTGAATCAATATGTTCCCCATTAGCAGGATAGGCAGTGCTTTTATCAGAGCATTTTTACCAAATACGGATGTTCTCACGGGAAAGACAAAAGCTATTGGCAAAATAACTGACAATTATCTTATTCTCTTCATTTAAATTTACATTTTGGGGATTGTTTGAAATTAAACTGTTTTCTCTATTTTTTCTTTTTTCTTATTTTCACTTATTTTTGTGCCTAAATGTGCCTACTATATTAAAAGTAACAATGGAACTGTACAGACTTATTCTTAAAGATACATTACACATTGTATGTAAACTTAGCGCAATGCCAAGCACATAGTAGGAGCTCAGTGAATGCTAGTTGAAGTAGAAAATCATCTGTTTTCTTTCCAACAGATGATTCCGCTGCAGAGAGCTTTAATGGCAATGAGACTGTGGGGCAAAGTTCAACTGCTTCAGGGGGAACACACAGCAGGGAGATGGGCGACTCCAATGAGGATGGCAAAACTGTGCTGGAGCAGGACCAGCAGCCCCTGAACCTGAGCGACAGCCCCCTCTCAGCACAGCTCACTTCGGAATACAGACTAGACGACCCCAGCAGTGATGGGAAAAACAAGTACAAGCCTCTGCTAATTTCTGACCTCAAGATGGAACAGGAGGCGAGAGAAAATGGAAGCAAGGTAAGATCACATTACAATTTTCATGGACTTTTTAATTTGGCCCTGAAGGTCACAAAGAAATAACGAGATGAAGATTCTTGTAAAAAAAAAATCTAAAATTATTTTAAACAGGTCCCAATAATATATTACCAAGAAGCTTATAACCAGGGATACCATGTGTCCCTGTAATAGAAGCGGTGAATTTAAGGAATAACAGTGAGCAAAACGGATCATGTCGCGGGAAAAGTTGTGGTGTGCTTTTATATATGGAATTACTTGATTTAATGTTTCTCGTTTATATAATCTTTTATGGGTCTGGGTCTGGGAGTTTGTGGAGCTCTGATGTGAAAGTTAAGCTCTCAGAACACAATATTCAACTATAAAAAAAAATCACTATCTCGTTTCTCCAAGATTAGACAGGTGTATACAGCAATAAAGTTTCTGTTGAAGCCTCTAGTTTACTTTAGAGACCGGAGGACTTTGGTCAGTAATTTACTGCACATACAGAGGAGAATGTGTCAGTGTTCTAGATGAAACGTGCAGGTTAAACAAGTGCTCCAACAAGTATTGTATCATAAACTGTGCTGAACGGAGGAGCATTCTCTCTCGGTTTGTACTCTCTCTGGCGCACTGGGTTCCTGTGACGCCTGCTCAGGGGGTGAGCGCCCCTGCGCCGACATGGCTCACGGCCATGTGGGACCCCACACAATGGAGTAATGGACTGTAATGAGCTTGGATGCTGAGCTAACCTGGCTGCAACATGGAATGGAAATTCTGGACGCTGGCCTTGCTTTTGGCTCTAATGGAGCCCCAGGACTGGCTTAAGGAGCAGGGGCCTTTACAACCTGAGGAATGTAACTCCACACACACAAAGCCCTCTACCACATCTCATTCTCCTAGGGGGTCGTCTGAAAATGCTTATTTCAGCGGCACCCCAAGGACCTCGCTCCCACTGTGTCTGAGAGATCTGGCCCATTGACTCCTGCAACAAAACTAGACCAGCTTATATCACACACAAGAATAAACGACTTCAATGTTAGACTCAGAACCATAAAAATCCTAGAAGAAAATATAGGCAGTAAAATCAAGGACATTTCTTGCAGCAATGTTTTTTCCGCTATATCTCCTCAGGCAAGGGAAACAAACAAGCAAGCAAGCAAACAAATGGCACTACTACTTCAGACTGAAAAGCTTTTCACAGCAAAGGAAACTACCAACAAAATGAAAAGACAACCCACTGAATGGGAGAACATATTTGCCAATGACACATCTGATGAGGGTTAATACCCAGAATTTATAAAGAACTTATAAAACTCAACACAAACACACACACAACCCAATTAAAAAATGGGCAAAGGACCTGAATAGACACTTCTCCAAAGAGGACATACAGATGGCCAGTAGACATATGAAAAGATGCTCAACATCACTGATCACCAGAGAAATGCAAATTAAAACCACAATGTGATACCATCTCACAACTAGATTCTTTATATTAGAATAAGTTACAATGTTCCTGACCTATTTATTTTTTTAAATTGAGCTTATATTACTACAGTTTGAAATATCACATGCTGGTGACTTGGTTCTATGATTTTTAAGGTGTACTTTTACAAACACGAGGACTTTTATGGAGTATACATTTTGACCTCATTCCCCCGACCCTAAGGTAGAGTTGTAGAACATGCCTTTTTACTAGTACATAGATCCCCTAAAAGCAAAATGTCTTCATCTGGATTAATTCCTGATTTTGCTGAGGCGTGATGCTTTCTAAAATGGCTCTATTTAATCTGCCTTCTTGCCTGAGGATGTGTTGTTTTATCCTCTTTTAAGGAAGTCACCAGACATCATCAGATACTTTAGCACTTCCACCTCAGGAGGCTGCTGTGCCTTTTGCTGTGGTAAATGCACAAGGACCCTCCTCAGTGGTTTAAAGCCCAGTCGCACAATCAGGAGTGATTTTATATTCACTAACAGGGTCTGCGTCTGTGTGTGACATTTTATAGAACAAAATAACCCTTAAGTTTCCTTGCCAGCCACATAATCCTGTCTCCATAAAACTTATATAATCATGAACTGTCCTCTGTACACCATGAATCTGTTGTTTAAAAAATATCACCCCGTGGTTTGCTCTTTTCTTTATCCCCCTGCTTGTGATTACCACATGAACTCTGCTCATTGAAACACATTCTCGCACTCATTGGACAGAATGAAGTTACTTTTGCTCTCCTAGTAAAATAGAGCTATACACAAGCACAGATTGTTTGGGCTGCTTGTAAGGAATGAGAAAGGGACCTGGGGAGGAAGTACCCGCCAGGAACTGAAAGTTGAATGGTTTGGTAAAGGAAAAACATCTCCCACAGCTGACTGGGAAGGGGCCAGAGAGGCAGGAGAAAAATCAGAAGGGTATAGTGTATGGAAGCTCAGTAACTTCCACTTTCAAGAATGAGGGCGTGGTCAGCTCTGGTGGACAATGCTGAGATATCAGATAAGATGAAGAGAGAAAAGAGTTGAACTGTGAGGCCTTGCATGGTAGCACATTGGGAGCAGAATCCAGAGAGACTCTAGTCATTCCTCCAAAGGGGACAAATTAAATACCTGTCACCTTTGCACCAATGAAGCAGTCAGCAGGGGCAACTGAAAGAGGGCAGACTTTATTCATGAGGCTCTTAGATAAGTAGTTTTGGTAAAGAAGGCACATATACATAGAGACGTTTCTTAATGAAATTATAGACAAATACAGATTCCTGTGTTAAGATACTGAGAGTTCAAAGTAAGGAAATGCTATTTCTATTGAGGAACTAAAGAGGGCTGAGGGCCTAGAGGAAGTGAGTCTCAAACTTTGAAGGAAATAATTTCTTTATAAGATGACCATTTTTTTTTCCAAAAGGGGTCTCCTGTTTTCACTGTGAAGGGCCTGGAATGCAGACAGGGAAGATGCGTTGACTTCATAGGGTTGGGAAGCATTGTCCGTTCAGAACTAGGTGTGACTTCATGCAAGGGATTCCTGCATGCAAGGCACTGTTGTGGGGAGCGAAAACATAGACATGAACAAAGCAGGGTCCCTGTCCCTCAAAAACTCAGAGCCCAGCAGGAAAGAGAGGCAAACTTGTGATTATAATCTAATTCCATAAGTAAAATGATGGGCATATGGCAGGGGGAAGAGAAAACAAATGTGGGGCACCCATCGGACTACGGTGATTCCTAGGGAAGACTTTATAGAGACTTCTGCTTGGCGTGGAGATGTGTAGGGAATTTAGCGTGGCCACAGCAGAGAGTATGTATGGAGGGATGGGGTATAAGGAGGCTCCATCAACAAAGGCTTTGTGGACCAGTTTAAGGACTCTGCACTGTATTCAGCAGTAGAGTTTAGCATGGTAAGGTTGTGGTCAGCTTGGAATTCTAGAATTTTCTGGCAACATTATAGTGGATGAATAGGATAGGGACCAGGGGGGGAAAAAAGATGGAAACTGGTTAGAGAGCTATTGTGGCAATTCAGAAAGAAAAGAATGCAGAGATGTTGTTCCTTCTGTTCTTTTGAAATTGTATTTGTAGGGCCACTCTATAGAGTTCCATAGGTTGTATATTGCCAAACTCCTGGAAATGTCTTTCACATATGAATAGTCTCTTTACCTCTGTACATCCCATTAAGATGCCAATTCTATGAGTATAAACATGATGTCTACCTTGCTTATTACTGTATGACTAGCACCTGACTTAATATCTGGTACATAGTAGTTTCTCAAATATTTTGAAGAAATAAAGTTATACTAAATGTGGTAAATGAAGCAGAGAACATTCTAGAACGACTCCATTATTTGGGGCTGGTTGCCTGAGTGGATATGATTCCATTCCCCAAGATTCGGGATGAGGAACAGTTGAAGAAGCAGTTTTGACATGTAAAGTGTATGGTTCCCAGGCAGTGTCTCTTGGATAGGTTTAACAGGCATAGGGGAGCATGTGTCAGTGCCAAAAACACATCAGTTGGAGAGAGAAACATTAGGAAGATCTGAGAGCAGCCGTGCTGACTGAAGCTTATGTAGTTGATAGGATTACCTCAGAAAAGCAAAGACTGAGAAGAGAGTGAAAATGTATCATCCTGCAGAAGAATAACCCACAGGAGCAAGTAGCTTAAAGGCAGTTTGTGGAGGAAAAAGAACTGAAAAGGGAAGTGAAGGCAACCAAATAAGAAAGGGAGGTAGTTTAGAAGCAAACACACAGGGCATTCCAAAACAGTGGTAAGTGGTTAAGTGGAGTAACCCGTAGGTGAAGTGATCCAGGTCTTAACTTGGACAGTGGTTAGGAGAGTTAATGCTAAGAGTCGGATTCAAAACACATGGCAGATGAAAAATTAGTCTAATTGGTGGGAAACTGGATTGGGGTAAGAGCTCGGAATCATGTTAATGTGAAGAAGACAATGTCTGGAACTTTTTTTTTAGGGATTCTTCTTGCAATCCGAATCCATATGCTGAGTCCTTTAGGGCTCCTGGCTTTCCTGTCTTACCCCAAGGCTCTCAGGTGAACTTTACGCTGAAGGTTTAACACTTATCTGTTCAGTCATTGCTACCTTTTGTAGTTCTCAGGATTGTCCCGTCAGTTCTGTGCCAATTTATAAAGTGACCCCACGATGAACTTCCAGCATTTTTCAGGCTCGTCTCTACTCTACCTTGGAGGGCTATGAAAGCTTAATTACATAGTATCTCTGAGAAGCTTAGATTGTTGCAAGTTTGATATTGATTTATTTAACAATTTTATTATGAATAATATCAAACAAAACTGATTATAAAACCTTTGAAAAACTAAACAATGACTAGGAATTCTTAAAAAGAATAGCTGTGCAGGACTCTGCCTTTGACTGATTTGCTTATTACTATGCAAATCAACTCACTAGACTAGCAGGGAATCATATTAACCAATCTAAAGAATAAATATATTGCATTGAGACTTTAGGTGACATTTATTTTCTACACAATTTTAGAGGACAACTAGTAACATTAGAGCTCAGAAGAAAAGCAGAAATG